GGGCGAGCACGACGGGCGGGGCAGGAAACGCAGCCGCCCCGCCAGCAGCGGCGCAGGGTCGGTCGCCGCGGCGGCCCCGCAGGCAGCTGACGCGCAATCAGAGCTGCAGGCGGCCGCACAGCGGCTCCTGCAGCGGGCTGCAGAGCTGTTGTTGCAGCGACGCGCGCAGGGCGGTGGCAGTGAGCACAGCACCGCCCCTGCTGCGCCTGCGGTCAGGGTGGGAGCGCCCCCCGAGAAGGTGCTCAGGCAGCTTCCGCCCGGCACACTGCTGACATCACCCAGCGCGTTCCCTATTGCTGTGGCTGCCGCCAAGCTGAACGGCAGCGGCAGCTCTGGTGGCAGCGGTGCAAAGGCACTTGCAGAGGCAATCGCATTGGAGCTGGCAGCTGAAATCAACCGGTTGGCGGAGGCTGAGCAGGTAGCGCTGGTGGCAACAGCAGCAAAGGGGCACCTGAATTTCTTAGCAACTGAAGGAGGTGGCAGCGGTGACGCAGATGGAGGTGAAGAGGCGGCCGGCCAGGATATCCAGCAGCAGCAGCGACAGGCGGAGCAGCAGCAACAAGAGCAGCAGCAGCAGCAGCAGCAGCAGCAGCAGCAGCAGCAGCAGCAGGAGCAGCAGCAGCAGCAGCAGCAGCAGCAGCAGCAGCAGCAGCAGCAGCAGCAGGGGCCAGACGCATTGGTGGCGCGGGTGTCGATCGGCGGTCCCTCTGTGGGGGTGCCAAAGCAGCTTCAGCAGCAGCCCCCAAAGCTCATAGCAGCTGCCGACCACAGGCAGGGGAAGCATCGTAAGCAGCAGCAACAGCAGCAGCAGCAGCAACAGCAGCAGCAGCAGCAGCAGCAGCAGCAGGAGGAGGGCGAGGGCGACCCGGTCGCCACCATCGTGCCGGGGTCTTTGCCTCGGCAGCCGCGGCGGTTTCAAGTGACGCTGACACCGTCCCGCTTTTCGCAGGAGAGCTTCCAGCTGTACAAGCGGTACCAGGTGGGCGGTGCGTCACCGGCGACGCCCGCTCCTGGGCGTTGCGAACGCGGGCTCACCCGTATCTAGGCTTGGTTGGGTGTGGCACGGCAAGGTTGAGTGCTCTCCCTCCCTCATCTTGTTTTGAGCACACCACGCTGCTCGTCAGCTGGCTTGGCACCCAGCGCACGTTGGAAGGTCTTCCACTTCCTCGGGTGCGTTTGGCCGCAACCTGCCCCACGTCCTCGTGACACCCCTGAACGCCCCTGCACCCGACCCCCCCCCCCAGGTCGCCGTCCACCAGGACCCGCCCTCAAAGCTCACCCCCTCAGCTTACAGCAGGTTCCTGGTCGACTCCCCGCTGGACGCAGTGCCGCCAGGGCGGGTGCGCGCGTTCAGCAGCGGGTTTTTTTGCTGGCGAGGTGTTACATTCATGATGTGCACGCTTGCTTCATTGTGTTTGTGCGTGGGCAGTGATGCACTGTTGTTATGGGCATCCATGTGATGATGTGATTGGACATGCATGTGCTCTTGTCACTCGTTTGCGCATGCACACATGCACATACGCAACAATCCAGCTGAACACGCGGTTATTAATTTGCGCCGCAGGACCCTGAGGCCCCGGCCTGCGGCTATGGCAGCTTTCACCAGGAGTACCGCCTTGACGGGAAGCTGGTGGCGGTCGGCGTGGTCGACATACTGCCGAGGTGGGTGCCGTACAGTGGTGACGATCACACCCAACCACTTCTAAGGGGTACTGGTCGTGGCTACATCTGCTTGTCTAGATGTCTGGCAGGAATATATGATGTTATTGTTTTCTGAAGTGATACAACCCTTGAGTACCTCTCAAGTAGCCGTGCGTATGCTAACTTCCATTTTAAACTGTTTCGGGGTGGCACATACCTTCGACTCGGCCGAACCTCACACAGCCCCTAGCCCAAAACCCCTGCACGCTCCCTGGTCTCACCCTTATCGCCCCCACAGGTGCCTCTCTAGCGTGTACCTGTATTGGGACCCAGACCTGGCACCATTGGCCCCAGGCAAGATCAGCGCGCTCTTGGAAATCGAGTGGGTGGCGCAGCACATGGTCGCGTGCGGCCTGCCGCGCGACCCCAGCGCCAGCGCCACGGCCGCAGGTGGGCCGCAGCAGCAGACGCGCTCGCCGCGCGGGGGCCAGCCGCCGCCGCAGCGGCCGGCGGCGACGGCGCCGTGGCTGGCGGCGGCGATGGCGGCGGCGCACGCGGCGGGCGGCGGTCGGGCGCCTGAGGCGGGGACTGCGGCTTCCACGCAGCTTCGGTGGTACTACATGGGATTTTACATCCACACTTGCCCCAAGATGCGATACAAAGCGGAGTATGCTCCCAGCGAGCTTCTGTGCCCGGAGGCAAAGGTGAGTCCCCGGGTCCCCATGGGGCCAACTGTCAATGCACTTGGTTGTCTGGCGAGGCCTGTGCTTTGATGGCTGTGGTGGTCGGGTGGTGGCAGTTTTGAAGCAAGTACAGCAAGACTGAGGTGAAAGTTCAGTACGCTCAGACAGAGCACCAAATCGCACACCTTCTGGTGAGCCGCTCGCGCGCTCGCTTACTGCCACACACCGCCTGCCCTCGTCGCGCAGGCGTGGGTGCGCATCGACCCGACCGTGGTGGCGGCGCTGGACGCGGCACCGCTGGTGGCGCTGTCGCAGCTGCCGGGGGTGAGGGTGTCACCGAATCTTGCGCTGCATGCGCAGCAGCCGCAGCCGCAGCAGCAGCAGCAGCAGCAGCAGCAGCAGCAGCAGCAGGACCAACAGCAGCAGCAGGGGACCGGCGCAGGGCAAGGAGGAGGAACGCAGCAGGCAGCGGATGTAGGCAGCACCGGCCGCCGAAGCAGCTTGGGGAGCACTGCAGTCGCCGCCGCGCCGGCGGCCGCGGCCGCAGCAGCGACAGCGGCAGCGGCGGCGCCTGCGGTCCAGCCGGCGGACGCGGTGGGCGACCAGGCGGTGCTGCTGCCCGGCGAGCGGCACCCCATGCGCTGGCGCGTGGTCGCTGACGCGGGCCTGCTGCCCCAGGCGGCCGTGCGGGCGCTGGAGGGACAGATCCGCGAGTGGCAGGGGCTGGTCGGGCCCGTCGCGGCCACGATGGTGTACATACTGGGCGGCGCCGGCTGAAGCAGGCGGCCTGGGCCGGCGGTGTCATGCCGCGCTGCCAATGACGCCAGCAATTGTAGAGAGCGGGCAGCGAATTGACGGCAAGTTTGATCGAGTATCACAGAGGAGGGGCTGGCTGCAACAGGGAGGCGTGGCGGCTGGGGCCGCTCAAGTGCGAGCGTCGCACGTGCCGTTGTCCGTGAGAGAAGGGGGTGTCATGCGTAGCAGACAGCGCGCAAGAGCCTGCCGGCTTTCTTCACGTGTAAAATTGGCACAATCAATTCTAACACTATGATACCGACCAGCCCAAGTCTTTGAGCAGGAACTTACATCTACTCGTTGCAAGCCGAGCAGGGCAAATGCGCACGACAGAGCCAGTTTGCCTCTTGCACCGACGGTGCGCGCGCTCTACCATGCACTGAGCTTCAAAGCAGCGGCGCAGAAACCCAGCGGCATGAGAGCGCGCCAGCAGGCCTCTATCAACTTCGCATCCAGGCTTGCTCCACGACTTCAGGGGCAGCGAGCACTCGACATTGCATGGTCAGCTGTGGTATGAGGATCAGTTGTAGTAGAGCTCCAGGCCCTGGGAAGGGTTGGCAGGGATACAGGGACGACAAGAGCGAAGCGGGGCGGTCGGCTTGCGTCCAGTCATCGCCAGCGATCCAATCCAGGCTGAGGTCATGCCTGCCTGTAGGCAGCCCCTCATGTGCGACACAGGCGCGGCGCTCCGGCCACGTGTCGACGCAGTCGCATCGGTTTAGCGCCCCAGTGGCCGCGCCGAACCAGAGGCAGGCCTCAACCCCGGCCCCTGGGTCAGCACTCAGCCGCTCACCATGCCGTCGTGGATCTCATAGTCTGAGAGGGTGATGTGGTCCTTGTAGACGGTGTACCTGGCAGTGGAGATGGAGGTTTGAGGGACAAACTGACAGGTGGGCCAGAACAGGGGCAGGCAAGGAAGACGCGAAGCCTTCATCCTCCCGTCAAGGCGCGCTTGTCGCGGGCGCGGTGGCTGGAGGTGCACACAGTGCGTGCAGCGCGTTGCGGCGCTGCCTCCACTGTGTAACCCACGCCCTTGGCTGCAGGCTGGCAAGTGTGGCTTGCAAATTTTGACGCAGGACGCCGCCGCGCCGCGACATGAAAACAGGCAGGCCGCAGGCAAAGATCTGCCGTCGGCGCGCACCATTTCTGGATGCGGATTTTCTCGGGGCGCGTGCCCGTCTGCGCCGCCACCAGCTTTTTGAGGTCCCCTATGGTGTCATCCTCGTTGCACTTGATGCGCACCTGCGCTGGGTGGGGGAGTTTCAGCGTTGAGTTGCAGGTGGTCCCTGGCACTGGGCAGGAGTGATGGTGGGCTGGGCTGAGCCCATGTGTGTGGGTGTCCGCTAGACACCCGACCAGGCACAGCATGAAAACGCAATCAGTCTGGCCGCACCACCGCTGCGAGCCACACTGGAAACTGCGTGGGCAAAACACGTATGAGGCGCATTTGCGCCAGCCAGCTGATTTGGCGGCTGCAGGCTGTGGCGCAATGGCGCACGCAGCAGGGGTCCCCAACCCGAAGCACCCGCCACACCTTCTTGCCCAGGCGATCGTTGAGGATCACCTCAATCATCCCTGCTCCCGCTGCTTGTGCTGCTGCTGCCGCTGCTGCGCTGCTGCCGCCGCGGCTGCTGCTCCTGCTGCTGGTCACTGCTGCAGGCAGAACCAGAGCCAGGGTGATGTGTAGAACAGGATACTGCCGCAGGAAGCGCTTTCCTGGCGGCGCTGCCTGCCTGCCAGCAAGCTTGCCTGGCAGCTGCTGTGCGGCACGTGGCGGGAATGCGCGTGAGGAGCAGCAAGCTCGCTAGGCGCGCCGGGCGCTCGTCTCTAGCCTGATGTTGCTGCAAGGGCGCCTTAAGCACCCGCGCTTGTCTCCTTCGCCTTTTATTGAGGTGTGGAGCGGGGGTGCACCTGTCGCGGAGCTGCAGTGCAGCGCGCGGGGCGCAGCACGGCCAGACGGCCGGTTGGGCGACAGCGCGAGAATGACAATGCAATGCGGTTGAAGCGTGGGCTGGTTGAGGTCGGTACAAACAATAAATCACCCGGATCACAAATCGCAACGTTTTCTCACGGCGAGCTAGCTTGCCGGGCATAGAAAGCGGCACCGCTCAGCGTTCCGGGAGCGTGCTTGATCTGAAAGTGCTTCATTTAAGCCATAATCAACACGCCTGCATGGCGTATTCAGCTGCGTTCTATCGTGCATCGACTTGAGCGTGATCTCTGGCCCGCCATCCAGCCAGCGCAGCACGGAAAGATCTCTGCTCGTAGGAGTATAAGACGCGGGAACAGGTTGAGCAGTTCCTCGCCCATCATTGGGAGCCGCAGAAGACCTGAGCGCGAGTTGCACAGCTCAGCATCAGCATAGTGCGGCCGCAGTGGGCCGCTCCGCAACTCGCCCTGTAGCCTGCAGTGGCATGAGCAGCAGGCGGCACAATGCATCCCGAGAAACCAGAGCCACCGCAAGTCTCTGAGGCCACCAGGGCTGAGTTTCAGGCGGTGAGCCGCGCGAGGATTGATTGCGGCTGCATTCGACGGAGGCGGGTGTGCCCGCGAGCTGTCATGCGACATGGCGCGGCGTGCATGCGACGTCCTGCGTGGCGCTCCAGAGGCTAGCATTTCACCGCACATGCCATGAATGGTCATACCAAACCCCTGCTAGGCCATGCTGCTTCTCTCTGTGCATGGTTTCGGTTTGTATCATGCTCACCCACGTCACCAGCTGTACCCACTCCGGCTGTTCACACCTCTTGCGCAGTCAGCCCTGGCCAAGCTCGAAAAGCATATGACCAAGAAGCTTGAGCAGTGAGTGCTATGGAGCGGTTGGGAAGCGCAGATGGCGCTCGGCGCGTCACTCACTCCAGCGCTTCTTCCCTCATAATCGGTCATCAACAAAGTCTGCAGCAGGATGTCCGTCAGCAAATCCCCCTCAGCCATCGCCCTCACTCCCCCCTCACCCCGCCAGGGAGGACAAGAAGGCGCGGCTGGAGGCGCTGGCGCTGGCGGAGCAGCACGCGCGGCCGCCAGCGGCGCTCGCAGAGCGGGAGCGGAGCGGCAAGCACAAAAAAGTCAAGAAGGAGAAGCAGAAGAAGGAAAAGCACAGCAAGAAGAAGAAGGACAAGGAGCGCAAGGTGCGGTTGTGTGTCTGATTGTGTGCGGTTGTTCTGCAGGCAAGCGCTAGAGTGCGTTGTTCGCGCTGCACTGCATTTATGTGTTTGTTCTGCACGGGCTGGCTCCTCACTGCCGCTTCAACCATGGTTACTAGCCAACGGAGGCATAGGCAGTGAGCACGGCAGAGCAGGTTATACCGTTGCTGTTGCTCTTACTGGCAGCTGCGAACACCTTTACCACAGGAGAAGAAAACCAAGCACAAGAAAGAGAAAGGAAAGAAGAAAAAGCGGCGGCACGATTCTTCATCGTCCGACAGCAGCAGCGATGACAGCGGCAGCGACAGCGACAGCCACGGCGGCGGCAGGCGTGACCGAGGTGGAGACCGCGACCGCGACCGCAGCAGGAGCCGCAGCAGGAGCCGCGAGAGGAGCCGGAGCAGGAGCAGGGGCCGCGACCGGGGCCGCGAGCACAACGGCGGCCTGCAGGAGCGCAGCAGGGGCCGCTCTGCGTCGCCGCCGTCCCCCTCTCACAGCGGCGGCAGCGGGTCGCCAGGCGGCAAGCGCGGGCGCGAGAAGGGGCGGGAGCGGCACCACCACAACGAGCACAAGCGGAGGCGACGCAGCGGCAGTGGGAGTGAGTAGCCTATGGACGGCAGCTGATGGATGGAATGGGGCCAATGCCTGATGCAAGTAAAATCTATTGTGGGTCCCCCAGTACTGCATGTCGGCAACAAGATCCTGTGCAACCCCTACTTGCTGATTGCAGCACCACACAAGCCCAGCGCAGCCAACAGATTAAAAAAGGCATGTCACGATCGGTGTGGTACTCTGCAGCTCCTGCTCGCATGTTCGTTGGTGCTGGTCCGCCACGGAAACAAACCAGGACAGATTGCAGATCTGTCAGGCGTTTGGGTGGATACGTGCCTATCCTGCTGAGCAGCAGCCACAACACCCACATGCAACGGCGCTTCAATGACAACAAACCTGGCTGCTAAGAGCGCCGTGATGTGCTGCGTATCCATGGCTGACATGGCGCCTGCTGTAGACCTGCTGCCACCAGCTGTGCCGCCGGCTGTGCGCATGAGCAGAGCCGCGACCTCGCAACATTGTCGTGCACAGTGCCGCTGTCAAGCCTGCCTTGAGCTCGGCTGCCGCCCACAGCGTGTTGCAGCTTGGGTGCCTGCCGCTGCTCCGCCAATGCTTCCACCAGCTGCTGCGTCTGCTGAGCTGGCGGCACACCGCGGGGCTGCTGACCGTGGGGCTGCTGCTGCCCTGGAAGCAGCAGCCCCATGTTTGCAGCCGGCTACCGCCTGGTGCGCCGCCTCACAGGCGGCGGTGCAGGCCACGCCCTCCTTGCCGGCAAGGAACCTGATGGGCCTGGGCGCTGCTGCACCAATGCATCCATCAGCAGCTGCGCATGCTGGTATGGCAGCGACAGCCCCATGTTGGCCGCCGCCCACAGCGTGTTTGTCAGCTCCTGCGGTTTGGCTGCCTGCCGCTGCCGCACCAACGCCTCCACCAGTTGTCGTCCCTGCTGCTCTGGCAGCGACAGCCCCATGGTGGCTGCCGCCCACAGCGTGTTGGACACGTCCTGGGGCTTGGCTGCCTGCCGCTGCGACACTAACGCCTCCACGAGCTGCTGCGCGTGCTGCTTGTTCATGGTGTACTTCGAACGCGACAGCAGAGCCGCCGCGTAAAGTGCGTTTGACAAATCCAGTGGGTTGGCGTCCGCTCCCGCACCAGCCAGCTGCTCCAGGCACTCGTCCAGCAGCGGCGCCTCTGCAAACGACACCTTGCTGCATGCCCACACAATGTTGGCAAGCTCGCGCATGTTGCAGTCACCAAGCTGCGGCTGCAGTCGTCCCCACAGCCGCTGCATGAGTGGGTAGAAATCGCTGGGTGGCTGGCCCAGGTCGCGGGCCAGGTTTGCCGATCGCTTGAACGACGTTGCTATGTGGATGGCGTCGAAGGCGCTGCCGTGCCGCTGCTCCAGGCCGACTAGCTGCTCCAGGCTGGTAGCGCCGTTGATCAAGCTGGTCAGGAGCTTTGCGCTGGGGGCCTGAAATCGTGATGGATGGGATTTGATGGGGCGGCAGCGTTCAAGGATGTCAAGGGCAATTGGCACTGCATATGCCGAAGGAGACGGGTGGAGGGAATCAACAGCACCCAGTCCAGAGCGTGTGGACTGCGCCATTGTCGGAGACAGGGCGGCATTGCATACCCCACCTTGCGTTGGATCCATGGTGCTGCTGGGGTGGCCGCGCTCCCCAGCTGCGGTGCGCCACAACCACCGCCACCGCCCTTTGGGCCGCCAGTCCTGAGAGCCGCCTCGACCTTGCTCTGCAGGTGGCCCTCGAGAGCCGCGCCGTCCACCGCCGCCCACTCCCACCAGGGCACAGACACCACTGCATAGCCGCGCGCCGCCAGCGCCCTGTTGCGCGCCAGCGTCTCCCCCGTCAGCTGCCTGCCTGGCAGCAGAAAGTGGTGCGGGCCGTCCGCCTCGATGGCCAGCCGCTGCTTGGAGGCCGTGTGCGTCGCGGCAACATCAATGCTATAGGCGCCATCCTCTGTGCGCGCCTCCTGACAGCAGGCGGCCAGGCCTGGCAGGCGCTGTGCACATGCAAACACGCTCTGCTCAAACACTGTCCTGTGCTGCTGAGCCGTCCGCTGCAGCATCAGTTCCCACTCATCCCCGCACTGCTGCATCTGCTGCGCCGACAATGTGCCTGCAAGCCCGCCGCTGCCTGGCTTACAGTCCAGTAGCCAAAGATGCACCTGCCACAGCTGGTTGCGCTCAGCTCCAGTCAACCCCGCCTCCAACAAGCAACTTCCCGCCAGCTGCTTGCACAGTGCCACGACCTGCTGCGCCAGTTGCTGCTGGTCTGCCACGGCCACAGCCCAGCACAGGTTGCAGATCTGTTGGGCGTTCAGGATGGATGCATGCCTGTGCTGCTGCGCAGCAGCCACAAGAGCCACATACAGCGGCGCTTCAAAACTGCCCAGCCTGGCTGCTGCGAGCGCCGTGTTGCTGATGTGCTGCAGATCCATGTCTGGCGCCCGCTGCAGCGCCGCTCTTGTCAGCAGCGCCACGAGCTGTTCCGGGCGCATGCCCAACTCTGACAGCGCCCACAGGCTGTTGCTGATTTCCTGCGGGATCATGCCCTCCACAAGCCGCAATTTGCCAGCGGCGTCTGCTAGCTTCAGCAGAGCAGACTCCACAGGCGTTGGCAGCGTTGCCACGCGCCGAGCAGCTGTGAAGTTTGCCGTGAGCTTGGCCGCCGCCCACAGCGTGTTGGACAGCTGCTGTGGCTTGGGTGGCTGCCGCTGCTGCACCAACGCCTCCACCAGCTGCTGCACGTGCTGCTCTGGAAGCGACAGCCCCAAGGTGGCCGCTGCCCACAGCGTGTTGGATACGTCCTGCGGGTTGGCTGCGTGCCGCTGCTGCACCAAAGCCTCCACCAGCTGCTGCGCCTGCTGCTCTGGCAGCGACAGCCGCATGGTGGCTGCCGCCCACAGCGTGCTGGATAGCTCTTGCGGCTTGGCTGTACGTCGCTGCTGTACCAGCGCCTCCACCAGCTGTAGCACCTGCTGCTCTGGCGGCAACAGCCCCAGTTTCGCCGCAGCCCACAACGTGTTGGACACATCCTGCGGCTTGACTGCCTGCCGATGCTGCAACATAGCCTCCACCAGCTGCTGTGCCTGCTGCTTGGGTAACGGCAACCCCATGGTGGCGGCCGCCCACAGAGTGTTGGAGAGGTTCTGCGGCTTAGCTGCATGCCGCTGCTGCACGAACGCCTCAACAAGCTGCTGTGTCTGCTCCTGTGGCAGCGACAGCCCCATGCTGGCCGCCACCCACAGTGTGTTGGACAGCTCCTGTGGCCTGGCTGCATGCCGCTGCTGTACCAACGCCTCGACCAGCTGGCGCCCGTGCTGCTCTGGCAGCGACAGCCCCATGGTGACCGCTGCCCACAGCGTATTGGACAAATTCTGAGGCTTGGCTGCCTGCCCCTGCTGCACCAACGCCTCCACCAGCTGCTGCGCCTGCTGATCCGGCAGCGCCAGCCCCATGGTGGCCGCCGCCCACAGCGTGTTGGACACGTCCTGAGGCTTGGCTGCCTGCCGCTGCAGCACCAACGCCTCCACCAGCTGCTGCGCCTGCTGCTCTGGCAGCGACAGCCCCATGGTGGCCGCAGCCCACAGTGTGATGGACAGGTCCTGTGGCTTGGCTGCCTGCCCCTGCTGCACCAACGCCTCCACCAGCTGGACTGCATGCTGCTTGTTCATGGTGTACTTCAAACGCGACAGCAGAGCGGCTGCGTAAAGTGCGTTTGACAGGTGCTGTGGTTCAGCGTCCGCTGCCGCGCCAGCAAACTGCTTGAGGCACTTGTCAAGCAGCGGGGCCTCTGCAAACGACGCTTTGCTGCATGCCCACACAATGTCGGCAAGCCCGCGGGTAGTGCAGTCACCAAGCTGCGGCTGCAGCCGTTCCCACAGCCGCTGCATGAGTGGATGAAAGTCTCTGGACGGCTGGCCCAAGTCGCAGATCAGGTTCGCCGATCGCTTGAACGACGTTGCTATGTGGATGGCGTCGAAGATGCCGCCGTGCTGCTGCTCCAGGTCAACCAGCTGCTGCAGACTGGTGGCGCCATTGAGCCAGCTGGTCAGGAGCTCGGCGCTGGGGGCCTGTGAATTGGCATGACAATTGGGAGTGACGGCAGCGTTAAAGGATGCCCAGGCGTGATCAGAACCAATCAGCACTTGCACAAGGGGTGAACACAACAGCAGTAGAACCACTGGAGTATAACCAACAGCACCCAGTCCAGCGGATCTGGGCTGCGCCACTGTCCGACACAGGGCAGCATTCAGACCCCCACCTTGCGTTGGCTCAAGGGCGCTGGCTGCTCTGCGCCCCAGATCCGTTGTGCGCCCCCACCACCGCCACTGACCCGTGGACCGCTATTGCTGCGGCCACTGCTTCCGGCCTCCTTGCCGCTTCCTTTGCTGCTGCGATTGCTGCTGCGCTCCCAGAAGCTGCTGACCACACTGCTCTGCCCCCCTCTGCTGTCGGCGCTGCTGCTGCCGTCCTCGATGACGCCCAGGGAGGGCACTGTATCACCGCTCCCAGCGGCGTGAACCAGCCGTGGGTCCCCTGCTGCCGCGTGCTGCACGACATGTTGAGCGACGGAATGCTGCAGCCGCCACGCTTGGTGCTGCGCCCGTCCATGCAGGTGCAGAGCGCATGCCGCCAGCCTGCCCCAAAGCCCTGGGGAAGCTTGGCATCCTTGAAAAAGCATGTCCAGGGGTCCAAGAGCCTGCTAATCCAAGCAACACGAGAGCGAATCCGGACATGCAAGTGCCGTCAGAGGGATAAAACGATTACCAAAGAGGGGTGCTTCGTAGACACGGCAGGCGGCGTCCCACACTAACTGCACCCACCGCAGCCCCCGGCCCGACAGCAGGACGCAATGGAAGAGCTCGAGCACCTTGACAGCAGTGCGGTCGCTGGTCCCCAGCTGAAACGCGATCTAGATCGGCATGCCCTAAAGCGCCAGCAGGAGACGCAGCAAGGCAATGTACATGTAGAATTGCACGAAGGAATATTACAGCATACTCGTAAAGCAAGCGACGACTGCAACGTGTGACCGATACTGTATATGACGCGCGATGCACAGCCTGGGCGAGATCCAATCGGATGCACGCTTTGACTGGTCACTTGGCGCACCAGCCCTTCTGCGGGCCATGCAGCAAGCATTTCTTGTTCGTCTCAGAGGTTCCCTGAGAATACACAGAAGTCGCATGCAGTGAGGAGCACGTCGTTACACTGTGGTGACTGGAGGAGCCCATCACCGTAGACACCCACACGGCAATTGTGGCAACTTCTCACAGGTTCCCTGAATGAAAGTGCAGCACAGCGGAGCAGCGACACCGTCCCAATGTGCTGGTGAAGACGATTGAAACATCGCACTCCATCTGCGCCAGGCCAACCAGCTGCTCCAAGCTGGTCCCGCCGTCAGTCAAGCTAGTCAGGAGCTCGGCGCTGGGGACCTGCAAATGGATCCTGAACAGAGGTGACGATAGTGTCAGCGGATTCTGAGGGCTCATCGACATCCTCAAGTGTCCACAAGGTGACATGCGGAGGGAATCGAGTCTTCACTGACTTCCAACACCCGATGCAGCGGTTATGCAAGGCATAGCACCTTGCGCAGCAGAGTAGCTGGTGCACACAAGCCAGAAGCAGTTGTCAACACATCACCATCTCATGCACTACCATAACAGACTAATGCTGCAGGCGAATGCGGGCATGACCGCGTCTTGCACACCGACCGCATTGCTGCGGCCCTGAGGCCCCACAGCACCCACTTGCCCCCGGAGCCCCCTGCCAGTGCCACACTTTGCTTATGTCTAGCCATGGCCCTGCTGCTTGTCCTGTGGCCAGAGGCCCACAGGGAGATTGTTTCTTACTTGGCCGGTGAGCGACCCACGTCGTGGCATAACACTCAGCATTGAAACATGGATCAGATCGTCATACAAGTAGCAGGCATGAAAACACACGCATAACAAAAGGGAGGATGCCAACTGCAACGCACTGCAACAAGCCTCTCGCCGGCCCCACAAGCAGGCAAGGCACTCGCCTCATGCCCCACCTCCCCCCACGCCCCCCTCAAGTGCACCCCTCGCCTCTGCGATCGCCGCTTTCAAATCCTCAAAAGCAGCCGCCACGTCGTCGCACGCCTCCTCGCCCTCCTCCGCCCTCCCCTTCTTGCCGCCCCCCCTGCCGCCCTTGTGGGCGCCGCCCCTCTGCTTCGCCAGCAGGCCTGCCCCATGGTCTGCCGCCTCCTGGGCCTCATCCAGCAGCCCGCCAGAGTAGTAGGCCAGGCCCAGCATGTGCCACACGTCGGGCACCGAGTCGTTCTCCGCTATCATCTCCTCCAAGACCTGGGTTTGCGTGCGGGCGGATTGCGGGTCGATTTCGAGGGCTGCCTGCTGCGGGTCGCGGAATCCAGACATGTCCAGGGGCGAGCATGCGAGCCAGGCAACGGCGAGGGATACAGGCAGAGTGCCGTCATCAGCCCATGCAGACAGCGTGCCCCTGTGATTTGACGCACGGGGACTGTGGGATGCAAAAAGGGCGCGGACGTCGACCACATGCGGCGTGTGCTGTGCGTCACCGCTTGATCTGTGCCTGCCCGCTGCTCTGCAGCCCCACAAACACAGCCACCCCCGCCCCCGCCACCCACCTGCACGGCGGCGTCGGTTGATTCATCCAGCTCCAGCAGCAGCTTGGCGCACTCAAACCTGGCGTCGTGGTGCGCATGCAGGAGTACTTAGTGCCAAGAAAGATTCCAGGCTACAAACAACACTGTGAGACGGTGGACACATGCGGTGCTCGGCAAATGCCAGGGGCCGGTCGTAATGCAGGCAATCAGCGCCATCCAGCCACCATTCAAAGTCTTCAATCACGGCCCTCGTCCCAAAAATTGGCAACCAAGCGTGTGCCGGTCGGATCTAGTCGGTCAAAGTCGTCACATCTGGGGCCAACTCCCACCTGAACTCGAAAGAAGGCAGGTCGTCTTCCTCGTCAGCATCCACCCAGTCACCACTGCCTGAGAGGTACAAGAGGGGGACCGGTGTTTTGGATCATGTACATCACGGCGTGAACAGGAGGGAGATATGACCGCTGCCACGCGACATCCGTTGCACCAGGCCTGCTGCATGCCGGCTGCCACCCTCATGCACCCCTATAGCACACGAGCATGCCACCCTCTGGCTCCACCCGTGACCCTCTGCTGTTCGCCCACCCTGTGTGGTTTGCTACGGAACTATCCTCCCCCCAAACGCGCGCTGAGGCCGCACTCCCCCTGCTCACCGCCCATGTCGTCGTCGTCGCCACCCATGTCCTCCTCCCCAAGGTCCTCGCTCATCGTCCGAGGCTTGACGACCGCCGCCGCTGCGCCGTCACTGCCCCGCCGCCGCCGCCCGCCCTTGCCCTTGCCCGCTGCCGCCGCCGCCGCCACATCCCCCAACTCTTCATCACCATCGTCGTCACGCTCGGAACCCTCACCGCCCTCCTCGTCACCTTCCTCATCCAAATCCTCGTCCTCGTCGTCCTCCGACCGCTCAGGTTTGAACCAGAGGGCCATGCTCTCCCGCAGCAGCGCCAGCGCCTCGTCCTGGCGCCCCTGAGAGGCGCCGAGGGGCGAGTGGGAGAGGCCCGGGGTACAGGGGGTCGACGGACGGGGGCTGGATGGAAAACCAAGCGTGGATGAGTCCAGGCGGGCGCTCTCGCGGCACAGGGCTGTTTGTAAAGGTGATGTGTCTGCCTGCATGATGCAACTGGCATGCAACGCATGTCTTGATCCAACCGCCGGTCAGACCTTACCTGCTCATAGCGCAGGCTGGCCAGCGCCTGCAGGGGCTCAGGGCTCGAAGCGTCCGCTGACCGGGCTCGTTGCAGCAATGACGCGACCTCCTCTGCCGCCTACAATGTGTCGTTTGGTCCCGGGCGCGGACATGTCAGTCTCTTGGAGGTGATTTGGCACAACCACTGTGCACAATGGATGCAGAAAAGCGGTGCTCAGCCAGCATGGCGCTTGCGGTACAGGGATGGCGGCAAAAGCCACCCACCTCCTCCAAGTTGCCAGCCGCCGCCATGGTCATCTCCGCCAGGCTGCACAGCGCTGAGCACAGCTGCTGCTTCAGCTCCCCCGCTTCGCCGCCTGCGACGCCGCCGCCCTTGCGCCTGCCGCTGCCGGATGCGGCCGCTGCTGCCGCGGCGTCTGCTTGGGCCGACAGAACCTCCACGCCGCGGCGGGTGGCAGCGAGGCCCTCCTCTCCTTCCAGCAGCTGGTTGGGGCAGCAGCAGCAGCAGCAGTAGCAGCAGCAGCAGCAACGGATTTGATAGTGATCAGAGGCGCGTAGTGTGCCATTGGGCAGCACCTTAGATCTGCTCTGCATTGCACATTACACAGCGAACACCATGCATCCGTTGCTCATCCCACCCAAATGGCATTCCTGCCACCTGCAAGCACCCTCACTACACCCATGTGCCAGGATCTGGAACCACTGGCCTGACCCACCTGCCCGAGGTACATGTATTTTTCAAACCCTGCGTCCGGCGACAGCTCCACCGCTCGCCGCAGGACCTGGCCGTTGCAAGGGGAGAGGCGCAGGCACCCATTTGCGGACGCCGTTGGCATACAGGGCAACAACCGCCAAGGCCCGGTATTGCTGCTACAGCTGCTGTGCTTGATGGCCAGGAGTCTGGCGCAGACACCACTCTTCCTCGTGTACTCTCAAGACAAGCCGCACTTTTCCATGCAAAGGTGGGCGGCCACCCCTCCTCTGCATGACGTCATCAGTGGGGCAACAGGTGCTGCGGGGCGGCCAGTTCCTGTGTTGCCCGCAGGCAGCGCAGCAGCGCGGTGCTGGGTGGGTGGCGCCCACCATGACGGCGTCGTCCGCGCGCCCTGTCTCTGCGAGCAGCGAGCCGTAAGCATCCAGAGCCTCAACGTTCTCGGGCTCCCGCGCGGCCGCCTCCGACAGGCACTGGCGAGGGTGTGCGGGGCAGGCGGCGCACGCGTTTGGGGCGGGGCGTCACGCCATGCAGCAGGGCTCGTCTTCTCCAGGCGATGCAGCGGTGCAGCGCTTTGCATGCAACCCCCTTCGGCGGCTGGAACCATATTTTTCCAGTACAGGAAGAAATCTTTGCCCAAGTCGGTCGTTTGAGGATGGCAGTTACAGCAATGATTTAGTTGCGCCCACCTGCAGGGCCAAGTCGTAATCATCATAACCTAGAGCCTGCTGCGCCCTCTCGATTAGCTGCGCCGCGCTCGCGCCGCTGCCCCCGCCGCTCCCGGCCGCCTTCTTTGCCCGCTGCTTCTTGGCCGCCACCGCTTGCTGCCTTCTGCTGCCGCCGGCTGCGGCGGCAGCGGCGGCGGGGGCGCTCGCCTTGATACCAGAGCGCTGCTTCGGCATGGCGACGGCGTCCCCACTCGCGATTTCCTGCTGCTTTATGGAGCGGCGGCAGAGCCGCTCAACGCTCCGGCCGCTGATGGTCGGGGCCGCGGCGTCGTGGTGTAGGTCACTGGCGCGGGCGGCACTGGCGGCTGCCGAGCAGAGCAGAAACGCGCCACAGCGGAGGGCAGCCGGTCGCAAATGAGTCCAAGCGGATATGACGTGACAAAGCCTACTATTGTATAGAGCGGATCTGGAGCACGCCCCTTTGCGCGCAGCGAACTTGCGTGCTGCACGCACTGAGGTGCCGGTATAAGCGAGTGTCACGCGCTCTAGAAAAAGTCTGTATTACATAAACACGAAAAACAAGACAATGCAGCCGTACGTTGATATGTTATAGAAAGGTGCCAGATCAACCAGCTCTACATCCCCTTGCAGACAGGCTTTCTTTGCTGGCGGGATTCGGTGAACCAGCTTCATATAAAAGCTTTTAGAAACCTCCCTGTACGAGGTGGTGGTGCGTCGCGCAGGCACGGCCCGTGGCTTGGCAGCACAGCGGCATTGTTGGGCGGCGCTGCTGCACCAGCGGTCGCCTGAACCCGTTTGCGCCGTGCGCGCCGCCACACAGCACAGCTAGGCGCGTTTGGCGTAACTGACACTGCGCTGTAGCCAGTCCAACAGGCACAGTGCTGGGAGCACCCCTTGCGGAGGCAACGCAGGGCACACCAACAGCACCAGCAGCAACAGCAAGGGTTGAGGCAGCAGCATCGGTGGTACCAGCAGCAACAGCAGCGGCAGAAGCCGCGCCGGCCGCAGCAGCAGTGGCAGCGGCAGCAGCCATGCCCGGCCAGCCGGACTTGGTAGAGCTGCTGGCGCGGGAGCCCGGCTTCGCCGGCGCAGTGGGAGCGCGCAGCGCACGCGACGCGGCGGCGGCCGCCCTGGCGGTGATACGGGTGAGGAGGGCGCTGAAGCAGGGCGGGCGTCGCGGCTGCGCATGTCCTGCTGCTGCTGTGGTGGACGCGGACGGAATCCACTGGCATCCAAACACACCTGTGTGCCACGATCCCCTTACCCTTTAAGCACATACTGAAGTATGTGAAATTGTAGAGCACAGTGTTGGTGGGTCAACATTCTGCAAGGTACATGGAGCCTTCAACATGGAGCCTTCGAAGCAGTGCGCCCCAACCCGCCCTCGTCCGTCCCCTCACAACAACTGCGTGCGCCGCCGCCCGCCCCTCGCGCCGCCCGCAGAGCAACTGGCGCATCTTCGGCCCCGGCCTGCGGCCCGCCAATGCGCCGCCGCCGATCTCCCTGGGGCACCCACACCCCCACTCCCACCACGCGCACCACCCCCACCACACACACGAACCGAGCGGCCCTGGTGCGGCCGCGCGGCGGCCGAGCGACTCAGGCGCCGCCACCGCAGCAGCAGGGGCGGCAGCAGCGCCGGCGGCGGCGCCCGCAGCGCCGGGTTTGGGGCCAAGCAGCGGCACGCCGGCGCAGGCGGGGGGCGTCGGTTTGGCACGGCAGGCAGGGCGGCCGGTGGAGAGGCAGCAGTCTGTGTTTAGAGGTGAGCACCGCTCTACTGCAGACTTCTGTTATCGCCACAAGTCGTCGTTGTCTGGTCAGGGAGCATGCCACGGATTGAAGGTTGAGCGGAACCAGCAGCAGTCTGAGAAAGGTTGGATGCCCAGGGTCTGCTGCACGGTCCTGCCGCTCCGCGTCGCTCCCTGCCTGCCTACCCTGCAAGGGGCCCCTCGCCCGCCCGCGCCGCCCCTCCCCGGCCCTTCACCGTGCGTCCAGCGCGGGGCCCCCTGAAGCTGAAGGACTTTATCAAGCTGATGCGGAAGGAGCTGGCCGCGACAGAGGAGCAGGTGCAGCATGGGGTCGCCTTATGGGGCGGCGCTGGCGCCCACAACCCTCAGCCTCGGTCAATCCATGTTTGTTGTGTATGCGCAAGTAGTCATGCTGCTGGGGCATGTGAAGTGTGGGCATGCTGGTGAGGAGCGCCGTCCTGCGGGAAAGAGGGAGGGAGGGCAATGGTGGTGCAGCCAGCCCAGGGGCGTCCAGGCACTGCGGGCTGTCGCAGGGCGCGGAGCGCGCTGCGGCAGCCAAATAGTACCAACACGTGTGCGTCAGGGCCCCCCGACGGCGTCACGAGAGCTCAGAGTATGCGTGGCGCGTGCCCAATCCCCTCCGCCAGGTGCCATGGAGCCTGGTCGAGAACCGGTGGCGGGCGCAGCGCAAGAACTGGCAGCGGCGCGTGCGGCAGGCGGACACCATCCAGGTGGGACCGCAGCGCGCGGGGTCCTCAGATGCGACGCGATAGGCATCCACATGCCGCCTAGATGGACCCACAGGCTTCGGCGCTGTGATTTTTTGGTGTGCGTTGCCGTGGTCCCGCGGCGGGCGAGGCGGGCTGAGTAGCGGCGCCACTGCGCGTGGCCGCCAGCTGTTTTGGGGGTGGTGCCATTTTGGGCGGCAATCCAACGATCCCCAACGTGCAGACCTGGAAATTCGGTGCCTTCTCTGCAGCACAGATCACCACCTGATCACTCCCGTCCTCACATCCGCTCCCTCCCGCCAGGGCTTGGCTGGCTGCATCTGGGAGCTGCACGGCACCCTGCGCACCGACAAGGCGGCCGGACTCTTCGCGTCCGGCGGCCAGTGGGAGCGGTCGCTGCTGCAGGTGCGCGCGTGCGCGGGGGCCCCGCGTCACGCTGCTCTCCTCAATGCTGCGTGCCACCGGTACGCGCTGCTGCTGCACGGTGCGAATGGATTACGCACACTGGTTTTCTTAACGCCTTCTTTCCATCCCAATGTTCCTGGTGCCAGGTGGTGAACGGCCTAGGCAACCAGCTGCAGCTGCAGACGGTGTGGGAGGAGATGAGGGGCCTGCTGCAGGTGCGCACCGCCGCTCGGGCCAGCGCGGTTGGGGTCCAACGAAGGACGCCCGCGCGACAGCGGTGCGGCCACTGTGCCAGGTGGCAGCGCAGCACTCAAGGGAACATCATCGCGCACCTGGCGAAGGGGTGCTGTGCATGAACCATCACGTGCCTTGCCCTCGGACCCCCTTCCGTGGCTGCCCTGCTCCTGGAGCATGCGGCCCTCTCCCTCCCCCCGAGGGGCCCCTGGCGCATGAGCGTTACGCCTGCATCCCGCCCTGCCCCCCTCATGGCGTGCGCCCAACCAACCACACTTCCCAGTCGTGGTTGGAGAAGCAGCAGCTGCCGGGAAGCTCCGCGTCCCTGGACAAGGCCTCCTACGCTCAGGTGTGGCCGGCACCCGCCGCTGCGCATGTCACCGCTTGGGCCAGTCTGTGCCCCGCTGATGTGTTGACCGCGCCCAGCCCCCCAGCCGCAGCATAATCCTCTTCACCGCGGCTCGGCACCGCGGCCGACACGCAGCGTCAAACTTTGCGGCCCCTCGATCGCAGCTGCGCCCTGCGCTGCCCTGATGATCCAACCTCATCCGCGGCCTGCTCTTCCTATTTGACATGCGTGCACTTACACGCGTGCGCCCGCGAGCGCAGGCCGTGCGCACCTTCAACGTGCTGCAGGAGGCGGCCGTGAGGGGACCAGAGTACTTGGACCAGGCGCGAGGGGGAGGGGGTGTCAAAATAACAGCGTCGCTCGCCACCATTGCACGGGGAGGGGGGGCGCCTGCACAGCGAACAGGACTGCGCGCCGTCGCGTTGAGCTGTTGCCCAGGGCGTCGGTTGCGCACCGGGCGATGGGATGCGACCACCGTGGCGTTGAGGAGCGTCGCGCGAGGTGCTGGCTGGGTCGCAGGCCGCCCACGAGTGGGGCCAGTGACGGCATGCTGCCTTTCTCAAGACGCCTGCGGCCGATCTCGCAATCTGTCGATCGCGCGCCCTCCACCCCGCCGCCTCGCTAACACCTTCTCCCCCAAAACCCTTCCTCATCTCCTACACCCCCTAAACCCCAGGTCCCCCTGGACCAGATCCTGGGCAGCCAGAGGGAGCTGCAGGCGCTGCAGGCCATCATCCTCAGGGAGCACGCCGCCATGCAGGTGGCGGCCAGGGTCGGCCTGAAGATACCTGCTCTGATTAGACCCGATCTGATCTGGTAGCATGCCTGCTGCTCAATGTGGTGTAGATTATAGAGCAAGGGCGAGGCACGAAAGCCTCCCGGGCCAGTGCCGTGCTGAACGCTGGTGCCGCCGGCCCCCCTCGTGCGCAGGCGCGGCTCCAGGAGACCGCGACTGGCGGGGAGAGCGGCGGCGGTGGCGGCGGCGGCGGCGGCGGCGGCGGCGGCGGTGGCGCTGCTGCGATGCTCACAGACCCAGGTGCGGTGCGCCCTCAGCTGCGGTGGCCTCACAGCTGTTGCCCCCCATCTTGCAGCATGGCTCAAGCCCCTCTTCTCAGGGTCACCCCTTGCAATGGATCTACTCCGCGCCGCCGTCCATCAAGCCTCCCCCAACCGCTTGCCCAAACCCTCTCTCTCCGAGCCGCGCAGCCGCCGCCCCCGACGGTCTGCTGGCAACCATCGGGAAGCTGCCCGGCGTGAGGGGCGCCGACGACGATGATGTCGACACCGATGGTGACGTGTGCAGCGAGGCCACAGACATGGACGACTCAGAGTGATTTCACGCACGCATGGACCGGGCGCGGGCCTGCGGCGCCGTTGCTTGTGCCATCCTGGGGCCGGCGGCTGCTGGGCTGCAACCCCTGCCGCCCCGTAGCCGTCAAAGCGGTTGCCAGGTGTCGGCCCGGCAGTCCCTCAAACAAGCAAACCCCTCCCTCCGAGCGCTTAATTCAAGGGTGGTCAAATCTGCAAGTGTCTTGAGCTGAACGTGCACCAGACCGCTCACCGCTTGAGGCCGTGCGGGCAGCGGCTGGCTTTGCTGCTCCTCCTTGAACTGGGTGGCGCCCGCCACGGCGTTGTTTGCAGCAGGCTGCCCGTCATGCCCGCATCATGACGAGCTGGCAGCGACGCCTGGACCCCCCCCTCCCCCGTGAGAGCCGACCCCCGGTGTGGCCCGGGCGCATGGTGCGGGCGCGTGTGATCCGCATGCAATCAGCTTGCAATCGCGCGCTTGATGAGTGGGCGCCACGGCCTGCAGCAGGTGCTCATGCACCAAAGCAGCACCTGCGTGACAGTGCACCTGCAAGATTGATGCGGCACCCTGTGTAACGGCCACGCCAACACGCGCGCTGCCCAGAGGTTGCGAGCGATTCTGGGCCCCTCCAACAAGGTCTCCCTGCAATAGACGCGCGACGAAAGGCTGTGGCAACTCGGCTCCCACTTGAGGGGTAGCAGTGTCGTGGCAAGTGGCAGCGCGTGCTTGGACACGTCGAGCGTTCGGGCAGCGTCATGGCTGGACGCGTTGGCATGCAGGTAAGAGGGGCAAGCAAGCGGCACTGCGGAGTGTCGCGCGAGGTGAGGCAGTCTGGGGCAGGGCCCGCCCTCTCACGCTGCCTATGGGGCCAGTCACAGCTGCGGCACCATCACCCTAGCGGGCGGCGGAGGTGACAGCTGCCCGTCACGGCGCCAAAAACTCCATGACTAGTCACAGGCTGGGGATCGTGGGCTTGGGGATGTGGATCCGCAGACCCCGTCGATCAGCAGCT